CTTTTTATCTATCACTAGTTGTATTAACTGAAATAATATTAGATGTATATTCCAATAATGTTGAATATAAAAAAAATATATGAACATGTATAAAGAAATATTAATTTTATTTATATTGCAACAAAAGAGGGGAACAAAAATGATGAGATCCAGGGTGTGTTTTATGTCGCAAAATTCGGGAAGAAACGCGTGATTTATAATATATATATATATATATAGGTAACATTAAGTATGAGATATACATATATTGTTTACATGTAAAATAAACCCTCCAAGGTGAATATTTCGTGCATAGACGAAAGATAAATAAATTGCGGCACCACGTTCCGTTGAGACGTACTTACATCCAAGAGTGAAAAATCTTCTAAAGCTACCAGCAGGCCGGACTAATTTTCCGCGTCATGCTTGAAACATGGTGCACAGCGGCGGTTACATTATTAATTCCTGCGCGGGGTGTTACATGCAACACGCACCGCGCTGCTTCCAGCTGGATTCAGGTTGCAACTCTCCGCCGGTTATATCCTGGCATAACGTAAAAGCCACGTTTGTGATTTAGGTTGGCGGTATCGAATGCTGTAATTATTAAATTAAAGCCAGAGGGGCTTCTGGGAATTTCATCGCGCCGCATAAAAGCGACATCATAATAAAGCGCGAAATGATGTAATATTTTATTTTATTCCGCATTTAGTAATCTAATTTTTCAGCATTGCATTTACGATGATAAAGCTGCCAAAAAAATTAATTTAAAATTATTTTTAATAACTTTCCGAAATGTGACTACGTTTTTATTATTAAAGAGTTTCTCGAGTAAGAGTGATTTTTTTCCTAATTATATTATTAAAGAGAGAAAGAGAAGAGGAAAATTCATATAATTGAATAACATAATTCTACCTCACTATTTGAGAAGCGAAACTTCTAAAGAGATGTATTTTTTTTTAAACTATTAAATTTTTAATTGAGCTTTAAATTTTGTTAACATTTGAAACATTTTTATATAAGTTTCTTTAGGTTCTTTAAAGTTTAAATAAATCTTTGCAAAAAATTCGTTAAAATATGCACGTTGCGATTTAATGCAGAACAGTCTTTACGATACACTTATGCAATAATCATGAAAGTAACAATTTGAGAGTAATTCAAAGTTCTGCTAGTGTATAATCTCGGGGTCGCTACTTTCTTTTACTGAGAATTGAAAAGTTTACGAAGTACAACGAACTTGGCGTTTCGATATAAGAGTTCGACAGCGGAATAACTGTGCATTCAAAAGTTCCCCAGCAGCTCGCATGCCTGTTATCAAATTCTAAAGTCGTTCGAACAGAATTGTCTTTCTCGTGCAGAGATATTGTGCGACCTCTTTTTGAATGTGTCGACATAAGTCTTACGTATTTATGCATTTATAAATAAATTATTTGGTTTTATAATTCTTATTGTAAAATTATATGTGAAAATAGTAAGGTATATGTATATATGCATAGATTTTCTTTTTCAATCCCTTGTAAACATATAGATCAAATATTATATCTGTCATATTTAAAATAAGGAACAAAATTATATAATCTTTAATAATATTATAAATATATATACACATCGAAGAATGTTGACATGTTGTTGACATACTTCTTGATAGTGAAAATTTGGAGAGTTGGCAAAAGCGATTTATCGAAACGCAATTGAGTCCGAAAGGAAAATGCGCGGTCGTATTTCTCTTGGTATTTTGATAAGATGAAAGTCGATGGAGATAGAAAAAGTATATATTTTCATTATTCGACCTACAATTTACGCAGGCCACGGCGACATTAAAAAGGTTAAGTAGAGATTTTGTTCAAAACCTTCTTAAAGAATGTAGTACTTACGCTTAAATTTTACGATTTTTTAGAAAAATTTACGTTTGCACGTCATATTAAGAAATGACGACAAAATATAAATTAAAATAAATTTAAGAAACTTACATTATGTAAGTTATGATAAATGAAAGATTCCATAATATAATGTACATTTTTTTAAGATTTTCAATTAACTTATTAACTGTATAATTAAGTGTCTATATTTAAAAATTCTTGACTGCTCTTCTTATATGTTATGCAATATCTGTTGAAGAATATTATTTTGCATTTATCAAGAAAGCAAAAATTTAAAAGATTGAACATGTAGGTATATATATATATATATATATATATATATATATATATATATTCCTTATATATAACCTTTTCCAATTTTTTTAAATTTTGTGTATAATTTTTTCTTATTATATACTATTTTTGCAACCCATTATACAGCTCTATTGTATAAAAATAATTTCTTCAATTAATTCACAAATCTTTTATATCCATTTTTAGAATCTGATTCTTAGTAAACAATAACAAAAAGATTCATAAATCTTTAAAAAAATGTTACAATACTTACATTTTTTGACACAAGATAAAGAATCGTCATAAATTTTTGATGTATGTATATACATACAACAAATGAGTTTTGAAGATATAACCCTTTTGTCTTAATAATTAATAAACTAACTCTTTCTTACCTTTAGAGTCTTAAAAAGTAGTACTTGCATAATTTTTGACACAAACGATAAATCAATGTAAAACTTGTAAATGTATAAATTTTAATATTTATATCTGTATATAAATAAAATTTTAAATACTTTTTACGTTTAGCACATATAATTCCTAACTGCTTTAAAAAATATTATTTTATTTCTTGTTTCAATAAAAATGTTAATATTGATCTTTTTCTTATTATTTTGTTATTGAAATTGCATTGATTAACTCGTCACGATTTAATACGTGTATAAATGTCGCAGATATAGGTATACTCTAAATCTAGTCTTTTTGGAAAAAATTATATTCGTGAAAATTAAAATTTGGATAAAGTCAGTTTATAAACGACGTCAGTTTATAATTCGACGTTAATAAAACAAACAAAACTTTTTGTAAAAAAAGTAAATTTTAATAAACTTTTTTAATGTTATGTAACATAATTTTTAAATCATTATTTTTCAAGATTATAAAATAAAAAATAATTTAACACTCACCAGTATGATGTGCAGCGGAGAAATTATTGTGTACATTGATCTGTAAAATAATAAATATATCCAAATTATAAAGCAGTGTCCAAAGTAATCAATGTTGATTATTGTCTGCAATTGAATTTCTCCTCTATTATTTAGTAATATTAAATAATAAAAATTATATAATTTCCGAAAGAAAAATTAAATTTTTGTAAAATAATTCGAAACATTTATTTTTATACATATATTTATAAAACAATATTATTTATTATAATGCAAATATTTTAGGATAAAATTCAGAATATTTTATATATGCATTTCATTACATATTAATAACAATAGATTAATCGCAGAAATAAAGAGATATGAAGAAATAGTTTTACAATTATTGAATAATTTTAATTAAATTAATATTTAATTAATAATTGAATAAAATTATTTAAATATGTAATAAATTAAAAGGCCAACTTAACGAGCTAATAAGATGTTAATTAAATTTTTTATTATATGTCATAAAATAATATTACAAATGATAAACGTTTCGGCTGTACGACAGTCTTTTTCAATATCATTATCGCTATGTTAATAAGTCAAGAATTAAATCGTTTGGTAAGACCGAACATATTATAAATATAAAATCTATCGGCTTCTAATGTGAAAAACGCAGTATCAAATTTCATGCTTGTTGACTTGAGATAAATCGCCTACTCTCGAACATCAGATTTCTGTAGTTCATGATGTTATAGTATGTAATATGCTGTGAAACAATTGATGTGTCAGCCCGAATATTAAATGTTAGATTTTTAAAAAATAGTGATTACTTACGTCTGTGTCGAGACGATAAAATATTTCTTTTTAAATAACATTGTCACAATGTGTACTTTTTGCGAAGCTAATCAATATCTGTAAATCGCAATGTCAGAGCGCTGTATATATACCTCTATGCTATGATGACATAGACAATTTTTCTAAAATATCAAAATAAGAACCGTCAAGACGCTCGGTGTCCTTTTTTAAGTTGATACTGTTTTTTTCTTCTTTAATGTGTATCATTTCCGTTATCAACCTTTTATAATAATTCTTTTCGTAGTCTAAGATTTTTGTTTCGCTCCAATTAAAAGTATGTGTAAACTTTACAATATGGTCAGAAACCACCGAGTGTCTTGCAGAATCTAATCTGATATTATTCTTATGTTCATTTACTCTTGTGCCTAATTGTCTTTTCGTTTATCTCAAAATTGTTCTAATTTATCTCAAGTCAACAAGCATGAAATTTGATACTGCGTTTTTCACATTATAAGCCGATAGATTTTATATTTATAATATGTTTGGTCTTACCAAACGATTTAATTCTTGACTTATTAACATAGCGATAATGATATTGAAAAAGACTGTCGTACAGCCAAAACGTTTATCATTTGTAATATTATTTTATGACATATAATAAAAAATTTAATTAACATCTTATTAGCTCGTTAAGTTGGCCTTTTAATTTATTACATATTTTAATTTTATACGAGCCGAAGTTTATATTGTATTATATAAAATTATTTAAATAAGTTACAAATTGTTCACCGCACGGGTGTTCCACTGTTGCCTGATGCATCTCTGGGCATTTTTCTCCTTTTGTGTTATTCATCCTTTATTGCTCTTTTTTCATGACACATTAAATTGCAAAAATATTAATTATAAATAATTGAACGTACATTAATCAGCTGAATATGACAATCACACGACACTTTATACGGCACTCCCTATGTAAGCAACACGCATTTTATTATGTCGTAATAAGAGAACGAAATATAAGAAGTATGTTCGCACACACAAACAACACACAGACGCATATACACGCATGCACTCACACAGCATTCGAATATCGTTGCAAGAATCTTTGTTATTAAATAGCGTATACTTATAAAACAATTGCATTTTATCTCATAAGTTTATGTTATAAATTTTACAAATTAAAATTTTTAAAATATTTGCAGGCTACAATAATAGAAAATAGGTTCAACTTATCGACTATTCCTATAATAATTTTTGCAAAGAACAAATTAATAAACAATTGACATATCACGGTTTTTTCGAAAATCTGACAATTCTTATATTATAATAACTAAGAAGTAAAATATATAAGGCTCTGATAAAATAAACACAATAAAAATCCAATAATAAGCCAATAAGAGCCGCAACGCAGGTGGTAAAAGCGTAAGTAAAAACAATAAAAAGGTATAAATCAAAAATAAACTAAGACAAGAAATTTAATTAAACGTTTCGATTCTTTCTTGGGATCATCTTCAGTAACTGTCAACACAAAAATAAACAAAGTATGTAACATAAAAAGTTGTTTTAACATTACGCTTAACATTATCAAAATTATCAGACTAAAATTAGATATAAAAACAGAATACGTACATAGGAAAAATTAGAAATTATAAAACTCATACAGTCATAGCAAAATCAAACATAATGGCGTGCGTCGCAAGACAAGCCTCTCATCGATTCCAGTCGTTGAAAGACGGAAGTAGTGCGTGGAAATGCTACCCATAGCAAAGCTATAAAAAAAAACACGTCCAAAACTTAAATAAATTGAGTAATATAACCCAATTAAAACGATAAGAAACTGAGACTCACCAATCCAACACACGCCAAAAGTCAAAGAACAACGCACGACCGTCACGTTCGAGAGTCTAAAGTTAAATTAAATGTCAAAGAATAAGCAGACGAATATCCCAAAAACAAAAATAATACAGAATTAAGCAAACACATCGATACGAGTAAAAAATTAAATGGTTGGCATATTCTTCAAAATCGATATATAAGTAGAATGCAGATTTTCGGTATCCTCCTGCTTATTAAGGCCATTTTTTTGTCTCCTAATGAATAACATCTTCGACACAAATCTTTTATGCAAAAAAGGTTCCTCATCCAAGATTTCCACATTATCCCAATCAAAATTATGTCCCTGCAACCGATGATTTTTATGCTCTTTGACACGAGTGGACAATAGTCTTTTTGTTTGTCCGATATAAGAAGCGTCACAATCAAAACACGAAATTTTGTAAACAACATTATTGTGTGAGGATCTTGGTAATTTATCTTTATGAACTTTAATATATGGTTTTAATTTGTTTAAACCAGTATAAGAAAGTTTAACATTTGTGCCCCGTATTGTGTTTCTAAATCTTTCAGAGAAATTTCGGACATATGGAACATTAAAAAACGAGATTTGATTATCTGACGTCGAATCCGAGAAATTTTTTTTATTCACATTAATAATTTCTTCTCTTTTATTAAATAAATATTTTAATCGCTATCATAAATTGTTTTAAAAATAAAATCTGTTGGGTAGCCGTTATTAATTAAAATCTCTATTATTAATTCGAGATTATTCTTGTGGAATCTTGGATGAGAAAGACGAAAAGCTCTATCAGTCAAATAAAAAATTATGCCTCTTTTATGAGTGAGAATCTTATATTACATATTCTCACGTCCTCAATTCGAAAAAGTTACATTTAAATTGAGTGAAACATTTGAGATATCTTTAAAAGTATAAATATAGTTATAAAAATATTCGTTCATCCGTGTCGCAAATAAAACAGTAAATTAATAATCACCTACTTTTCTTTTATCGTTTATTTCAAATAAAGTCACACTAAAAATATGCACCAATAAATAAACGTCGTTGATCGATAATCGTGATATAATCCTGATATAATCGTGAAATAATCCTCGTATTCCTCGCGCTAATTATATAAAATAAATATTACGAGAATGCGGAGCCGCTCTTACTCCGACCTTTCCGTTCGAGCTTCGTCGCGCGAATGACAAGAATACTACAATGACGTGTCAGTAGCGCGCTAACGCGCTGTCAAAACAAACGTCGAATACAATATTATTGTTGCCACTACGAAATATTTCACGTACTATCTGCGTCGATAAAACTGTCGTCTTATTGTCATTCGTATAGCGATGCTCGAGTGAGCAATAGTATAAGCTACGCATCGTTATTTTATTGAAAATTCGCAATTGTTAATTTCTTATAAAATAAACACTGTTATTGTAAATTACTGTCATTAGTGTACGTGATTAATAATTATCTTGCAAGTTACAAATAAAAATTATTATACAAAAATATCTCGCACGTCTTAATTTTTTACCGGTTTATATGTTAAATGTTTTTACTCGATTATTTCGGATTCGGACGCAAAATTATGTAATACATGAAGCGTTGAATCAGAAGCTTCGAAAAAACGATAATAAAACTTAACTATTTATTAATTATTATATCTATTAATTATGTCTGTTAAACAGTCGACAAATTTAATTACGTTTTTTATTATTATAAGCTGCAAATTCTTTCTCTTTCTCATTTTAATTTATATATTTATTAACTTATTAAATAATACAATATAGAATAAAATCTCTAAAATATATGTAATTTAGCAATTTTTGTTTCGTGTAATTGCATTTTTATGATGCTTGAATTTGACCGCACGGATCGTATCTTTCGTATTGTTCTGCTATAATAAAATGTACAATGCTTACGTTAGAAATGTCATGCAAAATGTCGCATGTTTATCATATTCCATTGGTTAGTGCGCGTGCGATCGTAACAATATTTTTACAGATATATACTATGATATGAGCGTCATAAAAGAGCAGAAGAATAAACCAAAAAAGAAGACCTAAAAGAGCATCAGAGATGACAGCATAGCAAAGTAAAGTGAGTAATTCATAATTATTTAAATTCTTTATTACTGTTGTAAAATTAATGGTTTGTTTATCTTCGTAATAGTAATCAATTTTATATATTGTGTAATATATATATTTTTTTATATATTTTGAGACAGAGAAAAAATATTAATTGTTCCTTTTTCATTTTTTAATATATATTTGAATATATGATTATATAAAATTATATGATTATAATATAATTATATATAAAATCACTTGTCTGCGTATAATATAACAATCACTCGATATTTTTCTCTTGTACTTTGGATACTACTTGCAAACAATTACTTGCAGACAATATTTATTTTCAAGAATTTTATTATTATACTTACTTGAATAATGTTTAAATCGGTCAAATAAAATTTAATTTACGTGATTGTTGCTATTGTTAACTAGTGACGATATATTTGCATATAATATAAGGTAAATAATATATTGAAAGAGAACTCCGTTCTCTTTGATTTTGCTCAAACTTTACAATATTATGTATTTTTGTGCGCATAAAATACGAATCTGTAAATAAAAATGGTCGTTCTCATAAATAAAAAAGTAGATTCTATCCCCTTTCTCCGAATAGAAATCGGATTTTAATTTACAAATTCGTGTTATATGCGCACAAATAAAGTACATTGTAAACGTACGTGCTATATTGAATTTATCTCGACGTCCGATATCTAGGTCAATATTTAGGCATATATTTTTTCTATCTCTTTATCAATAAATAATGAAATGAATAATTCGACTCACATTCGACTATTCTCCTTCGACTTCGGCGTACTCGGTCTCGGATTTCTCGCTGCCACTATTTTTCCTGTAGAAAACCAACCTATGCGTCGAAAATTGTCCTCGTCGAGTAGAAGAAGCTTCGAAACACTTGCACTCGCGCTACTTTTTCTCGGGTTTTAGCTATTGCACTTTCGACGCCTTTCGGTAAAACGCGAGAACTTATATTCGCGCGCGAATAACACCGATACGCTCCTCGTGATTTTGGTGTCTTAGCGAAACGCATGTCGACAATGTGATAATTAAAATCCCGGCGCGTCGCGAACGAAGAAAGTAACACGAGTGCAAGTGTTTGAAGCTTCTTCTATGAGGGCAGTTTCTGTATGCAGCAGAGGGTTATAGTTTCCTACGGGGAAAATATTGTCGGCCAAGAATCCAGGAGTACGCCGAGACCGGCGAAGAGTAGTCAATGTAAGTCGAATTATTTATTTATTTATTATATTTATTGATAAAGAAGATTTCATAAAGAAGATAAATGTACGCCTAAGTATTGACCGACATCATGATAAAATAAATTTATATATATATCGTCCCAGGAAAAATTTTTTATATATATAATTATATATAAATAATTGTATAACTATACATATATAATCGTAAAATTATATGTGAAATATGTTTATCTTTATATATAATTATATACATTTATATATAAATTATAAGAGTTTATATATGTATAATCATGTCAAATTATATATAAAACATATATTTATATAAAGAAATACTTATTTATTATATATATAAATTTATATAATTTAAAAAGCACTTTTATCTAATTACGTATGGACATATATTTATATATAATTTTGCAATTATTTGTATAATTTTATATTGTTATATATATAAAAAATTGTTTCCCGGGATGTCAAAATAAATTCAATATAACAGACAGTACTAAGTCTAAAATTGGCGTGCAAGATATATCTTTAAGATACCTTTAAGATGTCTTTTGTAAATATCATATCATAATAAGATTTCTTAAAACTGTCTGAAAGATTTCTTAATGATATCTTATGCGCCAATTTTGGACTTGGTGCTGTCTGGAATGTTTACAATATTCTGTATTTCTTGTGCGTAAAAAAAGGAATCTGTAAATTAAAATCCTGCTTCTCTACAGAGGAGAAGAAGGAAGGTAGAATCGACTGTAATTTTTTCCTAGTTTAGAGCACAATTTTAATTTATAAATCGTGTTTTATGCGCGCACAAAAATACACAATATTGTAAAGTTTCAGTAAAAACGGAGAGCTCCTTCAGTGTTACGATAATGCAATATATTCGTTTTTCTCCCCTTCTTTTTCTATTTACTATATACTTGCAGTTATTTTAATTAAAATCAATAAACTAAAAATATAATTTAAATGTAATAAATCACGTACAAATGATTTTTAAAATCGCAATATCTTATTACGTATTATAATGCAATATAATTACAACAAGCATTACAAACATCTCAAGATCTCATATGCATGATCGCGCACAACATACTGTAAACCAGCTCGAAGACCATTAAACTTCCGATTCCGTTAGAGTTAATCCGATTTCGCGTTCCGTTTCGAATTACGCAAAGTAAATACACACATATATATATATATATATATATATATATATATATATATAATAGTTATTTTGAATATATAGGTTAGTAGTCTGTACTCTGTACATACACGCGCTCGTTTGTAGTGTGTTGTGTATAAACATAAATACATGTGAAATATCGAGATGTTTGTGATGCAGATCTAAATTGTTAATTGATCATTTTTTGTAAATTTAAAAGAGTTAATTTATCGCTGATTTATTTGTTGTAATTACTGTGAATATACTGCAATATCGTTATAATTATATTACGATACGATTTAAAAATCATTTGTCTCATCATATCTGAGCCATCTTTTTAAGCTAGATAAGACTAATTACATGTAAATAGAGTATTAAGAATCAGAGCAGATTCGATTCTTACGCCTCAAAATGTATAAAATATATATAAGTTTACATTGAATATACATATGAAAAAATTTAATAAAATATTTCTAATAATTATTATTTATACATGTATAAATAAATATAAATATACATAACAAATACATATTCTAATTTTGTTTATATAAATTTATAATTATTTATAAGAATTAGATTCTTACGTTTATTATTTGTCATATATCGATTAAATAAAAGCGAATAAAGGTTTATATTCAAAATAGTTTTTTTGGTATTATTATTTCTAATAAATATCTGGTTTAAAATAAATAAAAATTCAACTATCTGTTATAATATTTTTAAAAGTGTTAATTTTATTTTAGACACCACTTTACTTAATTTAAATACATTTCTTTCTTACAGGCTGTTGCGCATGTTGATTACTCTAACAGGTTAAATAATTTTGTATTTTGTTCAGGATATAATGGAGATTTGCGAGAAATGTATCAGATATATATATAAGTAATCAATATTTCAAACGTTCAACTTAAGCTAATAATGGGGATATGTATAATATATAACAATTATATATAGATAATACATTCTCTATCATTTAACAACTCCTAAATTTGTTTGATACAGTTTTATTTATTTGATCTAAATTTATTATTTATTTGTGGTTATTATTATATAAAAAAGAACCAAAAATATAAATTAGAATATATAATATAAATGTAATGAGCAAATTTAATGATTCGTAAATCCATTATATTTAATGAATAAATTAAGAGATAAATTAGAACAAATATATTTTGTATCATATATCGGTAGATATATATTTTAAATATAGATATTTATTTCTTGCCTTTTGAAATATATAATATATAAACACAGTATATAATAGTAACATGTTCTGGAGCACATATAAACTTAAAAAATACATGAAAAATAATTTCCAATATCAGCTTTAAAATAATTTGATCTCTTTTAATAATATAATGGTTGTCGCAAAATACGCGGTTCTTTATTTTATAAATATACATATATGTATGTTTTCACTTATATACATTTAAATACTGATGAGATTCGTCGGGAAACTTTGCCGATTCCCTCGTAGTTTCAATCAGTAAAAAAAACTCTCTCAGATTGCGGAGTTTTAACGAGGAGAATCCCGCGTTATAACTAAGAAATTCCGCCGACGCGGAATTCGAGATCATTACACGGTAGGAAAGGCATGCGGCCGCGAATTCCGCATAAATAATCCGGCACTTCCGGAATTCGGCGGGACATAAATCATGCAAATGAACCGTTCGGACGTGATAAATATTGCGCCCTTGTAATCTCCGCTCGTTCCTCTCGCTGCACGATTGATTACTGGCAGATAAATCCAGGCCGCACATTAAGCCGGAACCACACAGGGATGCGGCGCCGCGATTCCGATGGTTGGTATAGCTCGTGGCGGACTTTGCGCGAGTAATAA